TGCGTTCCTCGAGACGAATGTGTGCTGGTGGAATACTAGTCTCTCTTCTCAGGGCTATAATAGGCATCGTGCGCCAGGTTGGTAGAGCCACGCGGATTCCGAAGGCAGAAGTTTGGTAGATTACTTTGCACTATTTCTTGCAAGAGTTGCGAGCGACACCCCAATAGGTTTCCCTGGTTAGACCTGGGTTCCAGCATTCCGCTGCGTGTATCGCAATTGGCAGAACTACTGTGCGGATGACTGTGGTTATTAAGTCAGGCCTTGGTCCCTGGATGCACTGAGTGAGCCGTCGGAAGTGTTGCACTAGCTGCATTGCTTTACTGATCCACTTTGCGACGTGGCTTTCGAAAGTTAGACCGCGATCAAGGTACACTGCGAGCCATCGGATATTGTCAGATGCTTGTACATCGCGAGTGCCTACCCTTATAGCCGGAAGATCGTGTCCCGTGGATCTGGAGCCGACGAAGTAGACTGCTTCGGCCTTATCTGGGTCGAAAGAGACGGCATTATTAGCAGCCCACCCTAGGAATGCATCAACTTCTCGTTGGACAGCTACTGCGGCTTCGATTGGCGTCGAGCCTATGCCGAGGATAGCAACATCATCTGCATAGCCAAATCTCCAACTACTGCCTCTTCATTGCATGCTTCACATCATGGATAACGCATCAGAAAAGTTCAATAGCGGATCTGCCAGTGAGTGCTCCAAAGAGTTGCTGCGGGACTGCCTTGTAGGTGAGGGCGGTGTAAGCCATTCGCCTTGCAATCAGTCTCTCGAGACCTTTACCCAGGGAGGAGAGAAGTGCGATAGGCCTCCATCCTTTAGCTGTACTGAGATTACGGCCAGGCTTGGAGAGGAGAATCACTTCGGCCAGCTTGACTGCCTTCGGGAAGTGATTCAGTCGAAGTGAGCCCTCAAAGAGTACTCTCACTGCGTGACCAATTGACGGTCAGGCTGTCCTAAGGAGCCGCACAGAAATTGCGTCTGCTCCAGGGGCTTTATCTTGGCAGGACGCTGTGACCCACCTGGCTTCTTCATCAGTGACGCTTGAGATCTATAGAAGGTTTCCGCGTTCTGGCTCGAGGTGTTCGATGTCAACATTGTTTTGACTGGTTAACTGGCCGAGAAGGAGATCGCGCAACAGAAGTGCACGCTTTCCCTGGTCCGAAACAACCATCGGGAGTTTGGAGTGGCGGAGCAGCAGATATAGGTTGCGGTTTAGCCCAGCGTGCCACCCGATACATGTCGACGTCAGTTGTAGCTTCTGAGAACTTGCGCCGCTATTATTGGCGTTTTGCACTTCTGACTATGCAACGGAAATCTTTTCTGCTCTCTTCGTCCCTGAATATCTTGTATTCACGTCTAGCCTGTGAGCACTTCAACATCCACCTATCACGGACCAAGGGCCTATTCTGAGGCAATAGGAACTATGTACGAAGATATCTGTGGTTTTCTGCTAATGTTCTATCCTAATCTATTCTGTTCTGTTCTATCATATCTAACTCTACTCCATTCTATTCTAATCTGTTCTGTTCTGAACTGTACTTGTCTAGATTATTCTATTCTATGTGAGAGTATACTGGAAAGTTCGAGAACAATAGAGAGGAATATATAATGGGTAATTGGGATGACTACGGTTCGGCAGATTATGGTCTTGTATTCTTAGGAACTCTTTAGACACTATTGAATATTATGTTGAGCTCTTGACCTTTCGACATCTTGACATTTTGGCATTTTGACTCTTTGACCCCTAGACACCCATCGACCTCTTGAACTATTAACTCAACAAATTACTGACCCTTCGAAGTAATCCTATTATCAACACCACCAAGGTGCCGTCTTACCCTTCGAAGCACTCCCGCGTCTTCCGGTAGCCCTGATAGTATTGCTAATAGTTTGAACCAGCTTATCAGCAAGGTTGTCCACCACACTTGTTGAGATCATAGGCTGCATCCCTATTCCATGGGCCAACCTACCTAGTACCTTAGCAAAGTCTTCGAGGGCGTCGTCTGTCAATCGGACTGGTTGACCAGTTTTGATAACAGCTCTAGCTTTCGAGTTCGGTCAGGGAACGTCACCTGCAAGCGTTCTATGGTCCGATGTCGAGTCAAGCTCTGTCGAGACATCTGCAAGGGCACCAGCGTTAGACCAGACCAGGTCGAGTGTATTTCCAAGATTGTGTGTCGAGATGCCCGGTGTGGAAGATAGGTCCATACCATACTCGATCATCCATTCGGTGAGTACCTGGCCATCGCCATGTAGCCTAGTGGCCATTGGCAGCCAGTCGGTGCAAACGGCATTGAAATCTTCGCCCATTACTGTCGGCCCAGATAGAGCCCATGATAGTAGCAACAAATGGTCTGCTCTAGGAGTGCAGTAGACGGAGACAAATGTGACACCTTCTACCTCTACTGAGGTGAGATCTGGTGATGTCTCGCAGATTGCTTGCTGTTGGCACTTGATCCCTTTATGCGTGTAGATGAGGGAGCATGGCCTTGTGGAGTTGGCGGCGACACGAGGAGGCAAATACCTATCGAATCCGGGATACAACTTGGTGAGTCAGAAGCCGTCTTTTTTATGGGTCCAGGGTTCCTGGATAAGGAGGACATCGGTTCCTGAATCCCAAGCGGATTGCAGGATGATGTAAGTATCCGGGTCTCCTCTGCTCAAATTAGCACAGAGGAGCGAGATTGTAGTTGCCGTTGTATGGAGCTCGGTAAGGTTGTGGTCCCTTGCGGGCATTGAGTGGCGTTGGAAGATTCGTTTTCGGCAGTCGCCTCGGCGGCTTTCTGCTTTGCTTCTAGATCTCAGATCGAAGCATTCCTTTCTTTTTGGCCCTGTTCGCGGATCACCGACAGTTGATCTCTCGTGCGTTGCATCGTCTTCCTGCCAGCCCGCGTCGGCCTTTCCATGCAGTCAGGCTCAGTTGCGGCGTGTGGATCATGGCAATTGATGCACCTTGTGTCAGGGCTCGCGGACGGTGGGCTAAGGTTAGGACGGAGAGTAGGACGAAGACTAAGACGAAGACGAAGATGAGGTCAAGAAAGTAGTTAAATTACAAGACAAGAAGCTACAGTCTAAACAGAGCCCAAGAGCTTCCTTAAGTACCTAAGACCGGTCATTACAATCAAGGGTGTAAATCCCACAGCTGTAACATAGCAACTGATCAGTATCCTGACTAGTGACTGTTGCTATTGCAACACACTGACCCTATTCCTGAGTGTACTCATGGGGCGGTTGGCCAGGTGCAACACAATATCATAGAGCTGGTCTGTGACACTTGGCACGGCCTGTTTGCACTCAGAAGCTTTGTGCTCAATAGAGCGGCAGCGAGAGCAGTGCTCTGCTCGCGAACAGATCTTAGTTGAGTGGTGTCCCCAGCATCGGTTGCATTGCGCAATTTTGAGCTTGCGCTGAAGTTCGTGAAGACGTCCGCTTTCTTCGAACAGTCTTTCTCCGAGCTTCGGTTTTCCAGTTGCGAAGTGCAACAACCAGTCCGTTGACGGCCTGGCCGTGCTAGTTGCGAAAGCACGAGCCGAGGTTGGTCTAACTCCTGTTTTTAGAGCTGCTTCTTCTATTACCATTTCTGGTGTCACTATGGTGGGCCCTTCCAGAGTGTAAAGCTTGTCTGGGATATTCGGTGCCAGAACTGAGATCCAGTTGGAGGCGGCTTCCAATTTCGTTTCTGAGCTATCAATTGTAATTTGTTTGCTAGACCTGGTGGTGTAGCTTATCACAGTTAGACAGTGTATTCTGGAATGCAGTGGTGGCTCGTTATAGATGCAATTGCGACAATACAATTGAGGGTTGTATGAAAGTTTGGCACTTCTATGGGTCTCAATTGTGTGGAGGTTGATTTAATTATTGATGATAATTGCTTGTAATGTCTATCCACAGAGAATGTGCTACAGCTCTACATGTGCCCGTAATCGCTTAGATTTGGCTAGTGGGCTGTCCCCTCTTTTACTTCGCTCCCGTGTTCCATCACGTGAAATATAATAACTGCTCACCACAAAGTCCGCAGATTAAACAGCTTTTGATCACGACATCTTTTACTTTGCTTTTTTGGGCCTTCTGTTCGCTCGCCGGTGGGTAGCACATGTTGTGGTATAACGAGGGCTTCTCTGACTACTGTTGTAGAGCTTAGTACCGTATGATCTTTCCTCATTCCCATCATCATTATCGTCGTCTTGTGAGTTATCGGAAGCGTATCTTTGACAGAGGTGGAGATAACTTAGCTCAAAGTAGAAAAGGTGTTATTCAATCTCGGCTCTGCAGACGCTACCGTGAGAGCTGGAAGTTCGTAGGAGACACTACCAACAGGTGTTGAGAATAGTCCCCTGGAGCCCTTGCTTTCTGGCGCACACTAGCATTATAACATTACGTGAGTTGTCAAAGTGTCAAAATGATTTTTCATTGTATGAAGTTGTCGGGAAGGATTCGACTCCTTCGCATCACTAATACATTTTCATTTATTCATCAGAAAACTTCATTTTTTAGTAAACACATACATCATAGCTCCAACTCATCATCATACTTGGCATGGCATTCTTACAATCTCGGGAACTAATTTAATTGGTGATAGGACTAAGCATTCTATTACCTGCGTTTGAGACAGTCATATACTGGAATGCTAGAATGAGATAAATACCATTGCGCATCAAACTTTCAGGAGCGAAGGTACTGACAACAATAACATAGGATCGGGAATTAGCCAGCCTAATTGGCAAGACATACAAATGTGTTACTCTTGGCCTTCCAAGCTATATCATATTTTAACATCACAGAAGCTTTGATGTTGGAAATCGAGTAAATGAAAGTTTAAATTAGACACAATGTCAAATTATATTCCGTGGCAGAGTAAAAGGCAGCGCAGCTTTTCGTTCATTCTGGCACTTTTTCATCTGTTGTACTGAACATCTGCCTTGTATTTCTAGATAATCTAATCAACCCCTTAATTACATTTGGAAAACCATCACGTTAACTACGGATTGGTGTGATTTTATTTACATTGAGTCCATTTATAATTGTACGATTCATATAGTCTGTGGCCCTCCATACCGCCACAAACTTGGACTAGGTAATAATCTGTATCTCTGGCTAAATGGGTATGGTCAGTCATAGTATAAGCTGAATACGAAGAGGACTGACTATCTGCCAATGGGATATCGAACTCATAGGCCTTGCAGATTTCCCCATCAGGACCTATGGGGTAACCGATACGATGTAAACTGAATTGAGCTTTTGATGCATATTCTTCTATAAGTCCGTTATCGAACTCTTTGCCAGTGGCACATTTTAGCACATATCCTTGCACGACAGCCCCTAGGAGCAACAAGACAGTAAAAGCGTTGGCGGAAACAGTACTGAGAATCTTCATTGAGAGAGCGTCTATCTTTTGGAGCTTAAATATGGACTTGAGAAAGTCGGGAGTCTGATGAGACAACTAAGGCCCAATGGATAAGAATTACAAGGTAGATCTGATGTCGATGAAATATTGTAAATTATTGATCTGGGCCAATGATTCTTTAGCGAAGATTATAGATGATATTTGTTGAAGTCTGTATGATTCTTATGGTAGGGACATTGTATGTAATAAACTTCAACTTTTGGGGAGACACCATGTAGTGCCAACATGATGATTAAGAATTTAATGCCTTTGCAGCTGCCGCCTTCAGACTAATGGTATAAAGCAACAAAGAAACAAGGGTGCGATCCTTCTCTCTATGGCCTTCGATGTTAATGATTGTCTGAACTATGCGAGATTTTTGACACATACATGGAAAGATTAAGTCTCATTCTGTCAAGAGATAAATCTAGTAAATTACCTCAACTTGAACCCCTAGCCAGATGATATTACTGGTGGGCATGGTCTATCGATTTGATCTGGTGGAAGTTTTGCGTGTGTAGCCAGGTAAAATAACTGAAAAAAGCTGAAGCGGGATATATTTATTGACAGGCATGAAGGGCTTAGTCCTTTTGCTTCACTAATTCGCGCATCCTACCAGACTTGGCTCTCTTGTCTGACTCGCTCAAGGCTCATCTGCTGCAAATAAGAGGGCCCATACTTGTGCTCATCTTTAGATGGCGTTCTGTTTTTCAATCATTTTTACTAACCATTCCTAGTCTTGATTTGTACAGGATATGAGCTAAATAGTGAGCCATGATTGGAAAATCTACTGTTTATTCATGGTGTGGCAGAATCTGAGTTGGTGATGAATAAATTGATTCATTAAACTATATGAGAAAACATAACTCTTGCTACTACTAACAGGTATTTATAAGAGTTAATCCTCCTCGTGAATCTATAGACTAGTGACTTGTCATTAGGCACATTACTCTTTACCCAGCCACGTATTTCCATATGTCACTAAGTTGTAATGACGCTTCAGCCTCCTGACTAGTAGTGCTGTTTCGTTCAGCTTCATCGCTCCCCCATACAGCCTCATTATAAGAATTCTCATTACTAGGCTCTGGTATCCGCCTAAGCTCAAATAATGGTCAAACCGTAACACATATAGACATAAGATAAGATTGAAAATATTTTAAATTTATTAAGGAAATAATGACCTCTCAATCATTGAGGTTGTAGAGCGCGTTGATTCAAGTAACTACCGAAGTGAAACTAAGTACAGAATTTGTAGTCACGTGTGTATTGACAATGTGTCCTACTCAATAGCCCCAATTATTCTGAATTCTAACAATATTTGTGGATGATTTTCCCCACCTGGTTGAGAACTGATAAAACACAACAATTATTACAGGACGAAAGGTGAACTCTAGCTACAGGCCAGAACCCTTGTGCTATTAGTATATACCCTACTACGCCTCCCAAAAAGCGTCCCTTCAACATTAACAGCCACTATCAGTCCTTGTTAGGTCTGAATCTTTGTTGGAGCCCTTTGATCTCCTTTATCTCCCATTTTCAGCAATACTAGGGAAGGTGTCAGGATTGCCTTCTGTATAATATGTATATGTGGAGATAACCAGAATCTAGTGTTCTATGATTCTTGTCTTGCCTTTTGGCCGAGCAGCTATGCACCTATCTCATGCATAATGTAGGATGGCACCCTTTATCCTGAATACCACCTCTGAGACCCATGTCTCCTCCTTGCTGTCTACATGCTGCCTCTGACAGAAGGATAGTTGCAGGAAAATGGCAGCCGGGGAAATTGCAAGTGCTGTTGTGGTTATAAGCTGTGAAGTATACGGTAATTATGACTCTGCTGTCCGTCGGTGGAGTTACACGGGCTCATGTGTAATGGTGAGTTGCGGAGATGGCGCGCTCATGCTGGGTGATGGCACAATGGATACTTAGTGCATATCACTGTGCCAAATGGGTGTCAGTAGGTATCAAATGTGAACTCTTACTGACAATGGTGATCTATCACGATGATCCCAGATGCGCATCCCGACAATTGATGATATCATCTAATGGATGATGTGAAGTATGATATTATTTCGGACAGATTTGGGTGACAAAATTTATCACCTATCAGTGGTGTTCCCTACAAACCTCCAACTCTCACTGAAGAGTCTGCAGAGCCGAGATTGAGTAACTGTTAAAGGAAGATATGGTTAGAAAACTGTACTGCTGGTAAATGCCTAAAGCTTCTTTTGTATATTGTTTATTTATTTATTTATTTATAATACTTAACGTCGTGACCGCGCACAGCACGTGAGCTCCTCACGTACCGGTTAGCCCCATCTAAATTAAACTACCAAACGTTTTTTAATTTTTTGTTTTGTTTATTTTGTCCTAGGCTAAAGTTATGTTTTCCACAATAGGTCAAAGTCAGGTGGAGCCGGTGAGGATCACTGTATACAGGCCCAACTCATTCCAACCGCGTGAATCAATACCAAAACTGCAGCTGATTAAACTGAAACGAAAAATCAAGAAAATCAAAACAACTCCAAAAACCAGAAGATTCCTCCATTATGGGCCCAGTCAATGTGTTCCTCACACATTACGTCGTCTGTCACACCTTCCAAATGACAAATTTACTCGATCTCTGCTGAGAGAAAGAGATGAGTTAGCAGGCACCTTTGATCCAGTCGGTATCCCGCTAATTGTAAGTAGATGCCCCAGACGGAGACATCGTCGAGGTTGCTGTGTCCTCAAACATCTTCTTCAGGTCCCAGCACTCCGAAACCTGTTGCCTCAGCCATTGACACATCCTTTGCTGCGGCGACGATCGCCTCTTCGGCCTTTTTGGCTGCAGCCCTAGCTCGAGCCGCCTTCGAAAACTTCCCTTGCTCGAGGTGGCGATTCCGCGCGAGCTGCTCTTTGGTCACCGGTCCAGACTCTCTGGGTCTGACTTGGCAGTCCCGAGAATCCGATCGGTGGGGTCTCCCACAGTTGCGACACTTTTTAAGGGCCTTGCAATCGGCTTTCGAGTGCATGTTTGAGCAGCAGCTCCAGCAGGCTGGAGCGCGGGAGCGCGGGAGCAGCCACGAGTGGTGTGGAAGCCCAAACAGCGTTTACACTGTTCAATTTGGCGACGAAGCTTGTGAATGGTAGCCTTACCAGACTCGTTGAAGAGGCGGAAGCCCGCACGAGGGGCGACTTCCCGGTCGAAAAGGGCATGCCAGTTTCGGTGCGGTGCCCCAGGTCGACACTTCCCATAAGGTCGGACCTGGATTGGTCTCACGCCGGCTGTAAGGGTGATCTTGGCGAAGACCAACTCAACATTGATCGCCCTGGTACCGCACACTGTAATTATACTTACAGGTACGTTTAGTATCTGTAAGGCTACAAGATCTGAAGATGCCTCGAGTTTGGCGTTTTCACTTGCCAGCTTCGAAGAGCCATCTAGCATCTCTTGTCGTATTTTTTCGTCCTTTGCTAGCATAGCAAAGCTGGTCTTAACTCGAGGAAGTGAGGTTATTTTGTCGTGAAGGAAAAGGAATCTCATCTCCAATCTGCTTCTCACGCAACTTGTGGACAGTTTTCGCCACGGGTGGTCCTTTTCAAGGCGAAGGAACAGTCGCTTATCGACTTTCGCCTTGAGGTTTTCTTTTTGTTGGGCTTTGGCCGCAGGTCGCGGCATAGCCTTGGCAGTAGGGACTGCTTTTTGTCGTAGTCCGTGTCTGGCCACCGTGGCCTAGGTCCTTTTGATGGGCGGAGCTGTGATGGCAGGTATTGTTTAGCTCCTGGCGTCGGGAGCCCCTGGGAGAGGATTTGTCGGGCGAAGAGGGAGAACGGGTGGCGTAGTGGCCGGGCCCGTGAATATGTATTGCGCAATTGCGGCGCGTAGGTAGACTCTCATGGAATCTACGAATTGTCTATTTGACCCGTTGGTCAAAGGGAGGAGGGTGGCTTTGACGCCAGAGATGGCGGCAGAGCAGAGGGCCAGATTTGCCGTTATTTCGGCGGCGCGTCGTTGTTCAGCTTCGACTATTAGTCGGAGCTCTAGGGGACACTCTGCTTTCATGGCAGCTTTGGCTGCGACGTTGATGTTGACGTTGCTATGGGTGCAGCGTTTTCCGACGGTTTTGAGGTGGTCGGAGGAGGTTTGGACGATTCTCAAATCCCGTGGGGGACAGAGGATGGTTGAGGAATTTCCTCAACAATTTGGACTGACCTGATCATGTCAGTATCCGGTTCAATGACGGCGGGGAGGGCTTTTTCCTTCCCTTTGATTGAGACCTTGCTCATCTCCGCGCATTTCCGAGACTGGGCAAGGCCAGGTGATTGCTCAAGAGCCCTCGGGTGGACTTTCGCGTTGTCCAACTTGGCATTGGTGTAATGGGTTTAAAGAATTCAAAAGTACTTGAAAGACGTTAACTCAATGAGAATTTATAATTTTTCCTTGGGAAGCTAAACTACTGTATTGTATCCTGCCTTTTATGTCTTCTGCGTACAATAGTATTACTTCCCCCCTTTGGCTATATGAGAATCCTCCTTTCTCCCGGCACAAATCTTCTCCTATATCATACTCCCCATCCTTAGTACGTACTCCTTCGGGCCCTTCTTCATGCGCAACCTTGCAATCTTCCTTTTGCAACACTGAGACTCGTTCTTGTGCGTATCCTTGCATTCTTCCCCATGCAACCTTTTTGTTATGCTCAGCTATGTAGTATGGTAGATCTAGTAGCTGGTGCATAGGTAGTTATTATGGCAGCATGGCATCATGGCACATGAAGGAGATCCAGTCTCTACAAAACGACTGTACATGTAGTAATGCGTGCATTACGAGAGATGGGTTGTTGATATAAGATAAATGGCATGGCTGCTCAGTTGGTTGCACAATTTGGTGAGCTGCATACTGGTAACGTGATTGGTCTACAGGGAAACAAGCTAGGGGATAAGGGATGAGCTTCCCCCAATCTGTAACATAACAATTATCATAGTCACTTCACTTCTGCACATTAATGAAG